AGTATTATGCAGTCACGCGACGTAATCGGTATGAAATAGCCCCTGAAAGATGGCGTTCAGAGACTTTTGGCGGGGGTTTGTACTTTAACAAAAATATATGTAATTTATGGGAAGAAAAAGATTCTATTAGGTTGTAGAGTGTGTTGTGTTATTTAAAATAAAAAAAATTAATTTTTATATTATAAAAATTTTATGGTGAAAAGCTAATACAACTTGGTGGAAATAACAACTTTATTAAGGTAAGTAATTTATCGCTAAATAAAAAATGTTAATAAAAAATATAAAAATTATAAATTATAAGAAAAAGCAGTGTAATAATTTAAAATTAATATATTTTAGGAGAGAATAAAATAAAATTCTTGCTTGCTTTGAATTCTGAAAGGCGAACTTTTTAAGGTTCGCCTTTCATCTTACGTATTTGTTGATGAATACCACTCACTTTCTTTAAAATATGATTTATAATTGTCGACGTACTCTTCTACATCTCAAATCATATAACTAATGTATGTTTAAGCCTTTTCTTGTTTACCTTGGAAAAGCTGCGGCTTTATCATGCTAAATATTTTTTTTTTGCCGATTTCCATAAATTCGTTCTTACTTCTTAATTATTAGGCTTTTACATGAATAATCATTTAGAATATTAAAGAAAGAAGATGAGATTAAAGGTGCATTATATTAATTTAAACGTAACTCATAAGGAGACAAATGCTATTGAACGTCTATTATATTTTTGTATCGTTTAGTCGTCAGAATAATTCCGTTTTTCGATTTTTTTTTTACTAATAAATCCGTTATATCAAACCGAAATTAATACCAAAGCTAAAAATTTTTTACTTTAATAAAAAAATAATAAATAATATTCTAATCATTGCAAGGGGTTTTTTTCCTGGTAAACTAACTCATTTTTTTGGCGATATACAAAATCTAAAACGTCAATGTGATTGGTTATTTATGCACAGTATATTTATATCCAAAAAAATAATTTTATAAAGGATAAACTTTATTTATAAGTAATAATCATACATGTCAAAATAATAAATAATATAATTGGAAAATAAATGAAGAAATAAAAATTTGATGACGTTGTAAGATTTAAAATGTGTTCTCAGCCAAAAAAGTTGTTAAAGTTGTTAAGCGATTCATTTAATCCTAAATAGTCTTGTTGTTGAAATTGGGGTTGTGTATTATCTGAAACGTGAATATGAGCGTTAATAACATTTTCGTTAATAGAAGTTTCACCTTCACTAGAAAAATAGTGTTGTTGAATTATTTGTGGTGGATTAACCAAACGAGAATAATCCACGTAAGTATTGTCTTGTTGAAATTGTTGATTCATGTCTAAATTGGTTGAACTTATTAATGGAGAGGATGTGGGGATTATAATAATTTATACCGGAAATTTCAACCGTTTGTATTTGAGGAGAGCTAGGTAGGTAAATCTTATCACTAGCGATCAACTGCGGCGCGTGAGATGGATATTGAAAAGTTGGATCGTATCCATTTGCAAATGTATAATCCTGTAATTGTGGTGGATTAACCGAATAAGAAGAATAATCCGAATAAGCATTTACTTGTTGCAGTTGATGCTGCACGTCTAAACTGGTTAGACTTACCAACGGAGATGATGTGGGGATTATAATAATTTCATAACCGAGAATTTTAACCGTTTGTATTTGGGAAGAGCTAGCATTATTCATGCCAGGTGAATGAGTTGGAGGATTATTATGTGGGGGAAAGTTACTTGGTGAGTTCTGTTGGTCGTTAAAATTTTGACCGATAAATTGTGGAGTGAAGATGTTGATTCAGATGTAAAAGAGGTAGTAGAATAATACTGTTCGGTATTACTAGTTGCGTTTGGCGCAGTTATGTAAGGTGGATGATTGTTAAGATTATTATCTCTTGTCGTGGAAAAGGCATCATAGGCGATGTTTCCATTGTAAAAGGTATCCGATGATGGTTTTGGCTGGGTTCTATTTTCGTGTATTTCATAATTTTCTGATGGATTTTGATACATTTAGACAAGGCAAAAGTAATTTTTATTTGAATTTTTTAAAAAGAAAAGGCGAAAAGGAAATGAAAAGGAAGAGATGGGAATTTATATTTGAAGAAGTGAAAAATTTTTGTATTTATTAATTGACAAATAAATTTTATTATAATAAAATATAAAATATATAGTAATTGTATGAATTATCACGGAAAATATTAATATTTAGTAAGACTACTTTTGGCCTTTAATTACTGCTTACCGAGATTAAATTAGACATACTTAAAATTAGGAGATGAAAACGCCAACTCTTTACTGAGTACTAACTTCCTTTTAGGAAACCATTTTTTTTTTTTTTTTTTTAACGATGTGGTACTGTTTTCCTTTTACGAACCTGGGTATCCAACAGATTCGCAAATGGATCGCTTTTGATTAAGACGACCTAATTGCCACGCCTAAGCATAATATAAATAAATATTATGCAGTACAATGTGCTATTATAGGTGTGATATTTAATGCGGCGAAGTTGCAGGTGCATTAATCAAAAACGATCCATTGTCAGAACCCATATTTCCTTCCACAACCACCAAAAGTCCAACCTCATGCCAATCAAAACACCCCCATCTTTATTGTATGCTACTACAGGACTTTTCCATACTCTTGCTCGATCATCTGATTGAAAAGAGCGAACCTTGATTCATCTGACCATACCACTTGTTTCCATTCCTTTGCCCAATTATTTTTCTTTACACCATTTCAAGCGGTTAGTTCGATGTTTTTCGGTTAATTTAGGCTTTTTTGTTGCTGAGTAACTTCCAAGACCTTCATCGTGAAGGTAACTTTCTGACTGTATTATAGTGTAAAGTTGTGTCAAGGCTGGTATTAAACTTGTCTGTCACATCACCTAAAGGAGAAAACCGATCAGTTCGTATAGTACGTTTCAAAGCTCGAGTATCACGTTCTTTGAATATTTATTTATCTTCCAAGACGTTGCTTAGGTTTGTAGAACCTGTTTCTTTATATTTTATAATATTACTTATGCCACTAGTTGGTATATTAAGTTGAGTAGAAATGACTGTTTGCTTAGTACGCAACGATAATTCGTTCACGGTTGGCGTTTGAAACTTCGTTTCCACGCATTGAGAACTAGAAGAGTAATAAAAATAATATTTTGTTATCTCTATTTGTATGTACGATAGGGAGAAATCGCCGATCCCCACATCCTCTCCATTAACAAGTTCAACCAATTTAGTCATGCTACATCACTTCAGCAAGGCAATACTTATTTGGATTCTTCTTCTTATTCGATTAATCTGCCACAATTAAGTCAAGAACAACACTATGTTTCTGCAGGCGAAACTTCTATTAGTGAAAATGTTGTTAACGTTCATAATCACGTTCTAGATAATACAAATTCAACAACAAAGTTATTTAGGATTAAATAACAACAAAAAATTTTTGGTTAATCTTACGTCATTTTTCTAAAATTTGATTTCTTATTATTTATTTTCGAATAAAAGGGCAGTGCATGAATAAAATACCGAGTTGCAGTACGTTTTAGATTTTTGATTTTTCACCAAAAAGTGGTGATACTATTCTTAATTTACAGAAAAAAAAAACCTTGCAATGCTTAGAATATTATTATTATTATTAATTTTTATTAAATAAAAAAAATTTAAAGTTGATAAATTTTGATATAACTTATTTGTCCGTTCCATTATGATATCGAAAGTTTGTAATATCGAGAAACGTAATTGTTCTCATTTCATGTGACGGCTAAGCGATAAAAAGATATAATATAGTAGAATGCACCTTTAATAATTTTAGAGGTACGAAATCAATAAAAATATTTTTGCCATGATAAAGCCTTCTTTGTATTCCTTGTTTAGCGGTATTTCCAAGAAAGGCTTGAAAACAAAAGTTATATTAACTAAATTCCTCTAGAAAGTATGTGAATTTTTTTTTGCCTCGTACAAGCTTTTTATACAACTAGTTGGTCGTCCCTGGGGTCATAAACGTGATGTGATGTTTAATAATAATAAATTAAAGTAATTACTATTTATGCATAGATTATTTAATACAACATGGTGCATTTGTCATGTTACGCAGAATGTTCCGACGCCGCTTATCAAATTTTATTTCTTCATTTATTTTTTCAATCATTTATTTTGACAATGATTATTATAAATAAATTCATCCTTTAAAAAATTATTTTTTTTGGATATAAAGTGGTGTGCAAAAAATGACAATCAGCAAATATAGGATCGACATGTATGTTCCACCAAAATCTTCAATATTAATTTTTATTTAATTAACATATGGGCCGATTTGGGGCCGATCACATAATAAATTTACGTGATAAAATCAGGTGTAACGTGATGTGATAGTGTAAATCATAACAGAAATCTGTTGCAAAACCAATCGTGTTCAATAAAAACTATTGTAATCGCGAACTCCAGATTGGTTTCAGATTGGTTTTCGTGAAATCAAGAGTCAAAGAACTCTCATTTCAATACATACAGTTGTGGCAGAAAAAACTGACAATTTTTTTTATAACTTCATAATTTCGTGAGTTTTGCGTCTAGGGATATGAATTTAATGAGCTATAATTCATTTTTCTGTGATTACTAGATGTAAAAAATATCATAAAATGTCATGTGTAATAAATGTCAATAAATACTGCTAATTTATTTGGCACTTTATCCCATAATTATACAAGCTTTACATTTAAAGATATGAATTTATTACCATTCAATTTGTCTTAATGAGATGATTCTAATGAGCTATATTTTATCTTCATATAATCACTAGATACAGTATAATATAGAAAAACATATAGAAGATTATTAAAAAATATATATTTTTTATATATATTTATTTTTCAAAATCTATTTTGAAATGCATAGAATTAGTAATAAAAAATAATTATTGCATAATAGACTATTAAATAATTATTATATCTTAAAGTGTATATCACAAGATACAATATATTAAAATTTTAAGGTTTGTTAAATAAAAATTACATGAGATATTCACTATTGTTTAATTGTCAATTTTTTCCGTCAGAACTGTATAGTTAGTTTATTTATAGTCGTAAAATATTTTTCATTAAATAGCATATACTATAGAATACTATCTAAGAGACCCCTTTGACTGTACCCTCATAATAATATACCCAGATATTTTATTAGGTGCAAAAAATGTTCTCAAATTAAGATCTGGGTATAATTCAATTTTCAAATTAGATAAATTGATATATACCTAGGTATTTTATTACTACAAAATGTATAGTTGAAACTTTAAATTTAATTTTCACAAGAATAAGTTTATTTAGTTAAGTCAATCTAATATCCTAAAAATTATACTTTATTATTAGAAAAAAATCTTTGTATGGTATATTATGATTGTATAAAATTATTAAAACCAATCATGAATAATATGTTACTCATTATTTTCTTGATAATAATCATTATCTAATTCACACTCTTCACTATTACTATTCTCATCATTATTATTATCAATATCACTATCACTAATCTCATTATTATAAATAACATCTATTTTAAGATTATCTTTATTTAATCAATCAAAGTTAAAAATTAAAGTATCTTTCAACTCATTCATATCATTTGAAATTCTGCAACACTTAAAAGAATATCAAATCATATCAATATCAATAGCTTCCTAACTTTTTATTACCCAAGTAGCTACAAGTAAATAAGAGAATCTTTTAATTTTTTCTGATGAAGTATATTCTTTAATTGCTTCTGACATCCAATGATTATAAAAATTTTATATTTTACTTTGAAAGATTTGTTCAAGAAAATATTAAGCAGTTGCAATTTAGAAGTTAGTTTGTCAGAAATGATAGCTAAGTCTATTTTCTTTTCACAAAATCATTTTTTTACAGTATCAGTTTATAACCAGAAAATGAATTTATTACTAAGAGAGATTTTGGATTGCTTTCTCTTTGTAAATATTTCATTCAAATATTCTTGATCTACCATATCATTTCCTCTTCATTCATTTATCCTTCAAAATTTACACAAATTATTACACCTTCAGGAAATTCTTCTCAAGAAATCTTTTTGAGTTTGAAAATAATTACTAGTAGTAATTTAGTCCCATCAGCCAAATAAGCTAATATAACGGTAAAATTTAATCATTTGTGACCTGTAAACAAAATTAATATAGTCTTAAAACTGGATTATTCTACAGTTATATTACTTGAAAGATTGAATGACATCAGCATCTCATCCATATTTCTGATAAGAAATAATAGATATTCATTCTCCTTTCTCAAATACATAATATACAATAAAAATTCAGATTATTGTTTTGCATAATCCTCAGAAAGTCACTGTGCAATTGTAATTTTTCTTTTATTTGATAGATTATGCTGAGATATGAAACCATCAACCTATTTACGTAAAAATTTAGCATTTTTTACATCAGATATTCTGATTAATATAATATTTTTTTAGCTAAAGAATGTGCTTTTACTTGAATCATAAATTGAATTACTATTTTTAATTGACTTCTAACTTCAGTAAACCATTTTATAAGCTTATCTTCAAGGTATGAAAACTTTAGACGCGTACCTATATTTAACTTCTGAATATAAAAGGCCATAATAATAAGCTTTTTCTTATTTTTAATCTAATCACAAAAGTTATTAGGTTCTATTCTAAACTTATCCGCAGTTAACCTTTTACTATGACCTTTTTTATGGTAAATTATTATTATTAACTTCTCCCTTGCAAACTATTGCTCTTCAGTTTTTCTGTGGCTCTAGCACGTTTAGCTTTAAAATTTTACGCACTATTTTTGTAAATTTATTATGGTAAGAAAAAAATGAAACAAATATGAAGAAAAAAACCCTCAAAAAGATATGAAAAAAATATAAAGCAAAGCAGCAAAATGCCAAAATAGCATGATAATTTTTAAATGCAGTTTACACATTCATATTAAAGCTTAAAATTTACCATATTAGTTATTAATAAATGTGACTTTTATAATAAAAATGCAAATTTGCAATATGAAAAGGCAAATATACAACAAAATACTTAACAAATATAATAGTTAAATATATAAAATTAATAAAAAAGAATAATATATTATTTTGCAATTTTTCAGAATATGCAAAAAATAAAAAAGCAGAAAGTAAAAGCTTGTTGCGAAATACTGAATATGATACTTTATATATATATCAGTTTATAATAATTTGTACTTTATACCTTCTTATAATATAACCTATATATAATACCCCCTATTAAAATACCTTATTATCTAATGTATCCTAATTTTCACAAGATATCCACAAATACAAATTAATTTTTAAATTGAGAAAATTAATTTATACCTAGGGTATCTTATGCAATGCTTTATGATATATCATTTTGGTTATAAAATGATCGGTGATTATGATAAATGATAAAATCGTTGGAAATTCTTAAATTACGAAAAAAAAGTTCGTTTAAAAAAAAATAAATTTCATTTAAAAAAAAAAATTTTTGTTTAAAAAAATTTTTTAAAAAACTAAGCCATGCTATATGCATACAAATATTTAAACTTCTTATTGGTTAATTTAAATTCAAATAGTAGACCTTATATGGTATAGCGTAGTATCTTCCCCTTAGACCAAAGTACTCCCTGTAGTATAGTACCCTTCCAACTTCACGAATTGGTAAAATACTCAGATACTTTAGTCAACCGTTTACGGTAATATAGTGCAGGACACAATAAATCATCAAATGTTTCAAATTGAAATTTTTGTTTAAAAATCATGTGATAGCAATATAATAATCTTGTTAAAAAATATTTCTTTAGTATTTTCTTATGATTGGTCAAAATTTAAATCATGTGATTATTATGCAAACCAAAATTAAAACTTTATTTTATTAATTCATTAATATTTTCAAAAATAAAATCTGAAACAATCCGATGTGATTTATATTTTTTAATACATAAGGGAAGTGACACATATTACGTGATTATCGAGGGGGGGTTCCAAATATCTCACCTTTTCACGTGATTATATGATTAGCCAATCAGAATAAAAGAAGTAAATCTTATTG